GTCAAAATATAGTGACTCACCCTGTACATGTATGTACCGTGTATCATTATGGGAGACTTCAACTACCCCGAAATAAACTGGAAAACATTGGAAGTACATCCGCACAACCAGTGTAGTCAAAACTTTCTGGACAGCTACAAAAACCATATAGCTCACTAACATATAAATTTTTCTAGAAGGTTCCGGAACAACCAAACATCTCTACACTAGATCTACTTATTGTAAATGAGAAGAAAATAATTTTTGATGTTCAAGAACATGCACTCCTTGGAAAAAGTGGCCCATAGCTTCAAATAATTGCACTGTCTACACATAAAATCTACAAAAGGAGCTTTCGGAAGGCAGATTACACTGAAGTAAACCCCAAACCCTTCAGCAACAATTTGCACAGGCTATACTAACCCACATTCATTTGAAGAATCCTCTGAGACTTTGGAATTCACAATCAACAAGCATATGCCCATGTCTTATACACCACAAAAAGTTAATGCCCAAAAACCATGGTTAACTAAGGCAGTATTTAGGGAAGTGAAAAGGAAAGGAGACTTATGGCACAAATATATTTACAAAAATACTGAAGAAAATTGCCAACAGTACCAGCATCAAAATAATATAAGGTGAAAAGTTGTACAGTCACAGCAAGAGAACACTATGAACAAAATCTGTTGAACAACAGACAGTTCTATTTCTATGTTAACTCTAACCTTAACTCTAAACACGCTCACTTTAGTATTGTTGACAAAGCAACTTTAGTCACATTTGAATCCGCCCAGGAGGTTGCAGAGGAGTGTTTTGCACAGCGATGTCAGAGCGTGCAATTGTTATACCTATATTCAAAAAGGGAAACTAGAATTTAGTAGAAAACAACAGACCAGTCAGCCGGACCAACGCCTTATGTATATGTATGGAAAAAAATCATTGCTAAGGAACTCACCAGCTTTTTCCTCGAAGCTCACATTGTACCACCCCAACAACATAGTTTTTTCCCCAAAAAATCTACGCACCTCCTAACCAAACTCGATATATGGACCAAGGCGGATGACGAGAATTATCCAATTGATGTAGTTTTTCTTGACTTTGAAAAAGCATTGATAAGATACCAACCATAAACAAATATACTTATTATACAAGCTATCTCATTTTGAAGTCAGTTTACTGTGACTTCTTGAGAAATTCCTTACAGGACGTACCTTTCAAGTTAGGACAGGAATATCACTCCCAGTTAAATACTATGGACACAGCAGCGTACCACCAGGCTCAGTCTTAGGACCCTTGCTTCTCATTTGTGTGATTTATATCAAAAACTGGAAACCAAATATGAATCGTTTGCAGGTGACACAAGCCTATCCTGCAATCCACTACTACAGTTTGCAGACCTCCAGGAGGACCTGCACACCATCAAAGAGTGAACAATCCTTTAGAAAATGCTATTGAATGACCTTAAGTGCACAGTTCAACATATCGGCTGGAACAAGCCTGAACATGATTACCTCCTCCGACAAACGTTAATTAAAAAAGTTTTGTGCCACAAAGACCTATGAATAACAATCACATAAGACTGGGAACAACACATCACTGAAATTACAAAAAAGCCATTTCACTAATCTACCTCATTCAAAATCTTTCAAAAATCTGTCCAAAGAAATGGTTATAAAGCTCTACAAAACTTATGTAAGACCAAAGCTCGAATACGCCCATTCCCATAACCCATATTAAGTACATCAAATCCCTCCATTCGGGTCTTTCTTTTATCAGGGTCTCCTTATCCCAGAAAGTAGCATTAATCCCTTTTGGTTCGCATCTCTCTCCTCAGGGTCTCCTTACCCAAGGGAACAGTAGCCACACGTCTCTACAGGGTCACCTTACCTCAGAGAGTCTTGGAGCAATCCCTTTCAGGGCATCGCCGCTATATACGTGCGGGAACCAGTTGCACCCCTGTATAGATACATAGCCCCAAACACAAAAGTCATGTGACATACCTAAGTAGTAGGTATCCCTTTGGTAATGTACCCTCTAGGAAGCAATATACGATAAGTGTCTTTTGTAGTTGTGTGTTTTCCTGGAGAGCAACCCCTAATCTCAGGTCCTACCCACATTAGCTGTGAGGCAAGACATTGAGCTGATTGAGAGAGTACAGCGCCGTATTACAAGGATAGGTACCTAATGAACTCAAAAAGTTACCCTACGAGAGCCGCCTTAACCAACTAAACCTAACTACATTAAAAGACAGAAGAACTAGGAGAGACCTTCTTGAAACTTACAAAATACTGAATGATGGTCACTATGCATGTGACATTAACTTCTTCCTCGCCACAACGCCGCAAGAAACTTCAGAAGGAAAGATGTAACAAGTTAGTAAGAAAACCTGACAAACAGAGTGGTTTATCATGGAACAATTAGTGCAACATCAGTAAATCAATTTGAAAACCGTTTGGATCCAGAAATGAGGGGCTGGCACAATACGTTTGCGTATTATGGTGTTTATAATTTGTGAAAAAATTATGGAAAACTAAAATACTCATCGGTTATCCATCCACCTACTACTGACATCCATAATAATAATAACCCATACCTATCATATTAGACTCATTCTACAAATATTTACCTGGATTAGCAACAAAATATTAATAATATTGATTAATTTATCCCAAATCGCACATCCCCATGTTTTCTGTTTCTGAGTTTTTGAACAAACAGTTAAAAGTTCCAACCAAATGCTTTCGTACATATTCAATAATTAATATAATAGGTATAATGTATTCCACCAAAAATACTCAGTCAGATTATTATCCAAGCACCCCTTGAGGCTACTGCCCCAAATTCAATCATATGAAATATGAATAATATCCATTCGCATAATAATTATTATTATATGAGAAAATCGTAACCACTTTTACCATGCAAGTAGGTCAGCAGTAAAATTTTCGTCTTCGAGACACACTGATCTCGAAAACGGAACTTGTTATTCGACGAATAAAAGTGTAGGTCTGTGATTTTAGTCTGGGAAATAATCAGTAAAATGATAATTCAGAATTTGTTCATATAGGGATTGATTCATAGGAAATTTACTCAGTGATAGTCTCTCGAGTGGGAAAACATTCCAATAAAAAACAAGAATCACTTTTCAAAGTGAGTGCTATGCAAAATATTTTCAAGAAAAAACACTGGAAGAGATGTTTTTGAAAAACACTATTCGCTTTGTGGGATCCTCCAGCATTTTTGCTCATAATATTTTGCTAAATCAATATCAGGAAACTAAAAATTCTTCTTGAAATTCCAATCAATTTTCTCCCAGATTATTGGTCGCTTGATTTTAAACTCTCCGAAATGTGAATTATTACATAATTCTTCGAATTACTTAATATTCAACGTTTGCGAATTACACAATTCATCATTATTTTCTTTCGGTTAAATTGTCTTTTTCCGGGTGGGGTCGTTTTTAAATTGTGAACGTTTATAGATATATTAAATCGCCGGTTAATCATCCTGTTAAGTTTTATTCAGGACAGATTGATTATTGTAACGGATATTAGGTAGGTAGGTATATTGCACCTGATATATTAAAATTGTTAAATGTAACAGAAGGAACTTACTTTATACACTAGTTTGAGGTTTAATGATGTAAAACATTTGTTAAGCCTTCCATAGAGAAGTTGAGATGAAAAACTAGTACCTAGATATTGCTGCCACATCCAATCTAATAGCGATGTCATCTACGAAGCGAAAATATCAAAAACTGCAAGATATGTGTTACACCAAAGACTTTGAAATACAGAAATATTCTGATCGAGATTTCATACCAATGCTGTCAATATATTTTCCAGGCAGATCTTTGATTCCAGACATCAAACCATTTGAATAGACAAGCATTTGACTTCAACACCTAAACTGAAATATCTATGGAATGTAGTTAATGAAGATATATCGAACAAACCCTAAAGACATAACACCTAGTCGAATGACAAACAATTGTGAAACTGTTGAAATTAATTTTGATACCGTAAAAAAATTAAATTTTAAATTGTTACCAAGATTCAACCAAAAAGTGCCAAATCATTGTCTCCAGCACTTTCACCCATACAACATCCATCTTTTGCAAAGATTATTAACCTACTTTATAGTTTCAAACAAGACACAACCCGCTTATTGCCAATTTAACAATATAGTAATTATAAAGCTGTTATATAACTAAGTTTATAATGTTTATAATTCGACTCTGCCTCACATATTTACCCAAAACATCAAGGATTTATCATTAGGCTTAAACATTACCCAATTATATGCAAGAGTTTTATATAACGATGTATAAATTTGTATGTTTCAAAAAATGTGTGAGCAAGCGTACATGTTATGTGGCAAAATTAACCCATAGAAAGCGAGATATATGCTTATTAATTACAAATAACTTCCATAATTGATTGCATTATCTAATGCAACCAGAGCCACCCAATTTAGCCTGGCTCGCGATTATTTGGGTTAATTTTTTGTTGGTAGCATATTAATGATGCTTGTGTATTTGTTTGTTAACCAAAGCAATAGAAAATATTAGATTTTTGGAATACAGAGACGACTTTCAGATTTTTTTTCAAAATTTGCTATAGGGCATTCGCATTGGCTCATTATTGTGATCCCTTCTACTTGGGGTTCTAGAAACAAATAAACATTATCCATACTTCAGAATCCAATGGATCGGAAAAGTATACTGAAAGAATGACCACATCATGTACAATATTGTTACGGCATCGAGAAAGATGAAAGTGTTGAGGAGGCAAGCAAAGGAAAACCCTTTATAGAAATAAATGGAAAAAGCGACCTTGAGCAAACTATAAAGCCAAGTGTTCAAAGTTACCTTGTTGAGCCTCTGATATCCTGAAAGTGTGGAAATTTTATCAGATAAAAAAATGACGTAGAATCTTCAGTTGTAACCCGCATTAATTTAAAATGCCTTGAATCCATCCTTAAAATACCTACTGGATTTATTGATGTTATTTTTTTTTCAGTGTATGACCCATGCCTGGTACCTCCCTTGCGATTTCCACTATTTCATCATAGCCATAGGCATTTGCATTCTTATCAACAAACACAAAAAATGGGGCCTTAGCGCTTTAGTGGCCACAACTATTATATCAATGGTAAATTAAGAGTTTAATTTTACACAAACTCAAATTAACCTCGCCATTTTTTCAGGCGATTCCTTTCATTCTCACTGTTATATATCGTCGACCAGCAATGTTAATGTTCTATCCAGATTTCCTGACTGGACCCAAGACTCATCCTGATTTTTTGCTTACTTACAGTAAGTCACATACTAGGGCTACGCCGTACTTTATTGGAATGTTTGCTGGATATATTTATTATTCATTGAAAGGAAAAGATTATCATGTTTGTAAGGTAAGAATAAATAAGTGTTTTCTTTTTGTTTTCTCCTAATGTGTTTTTAATGTGATTACTTTATTTATATGCATATATATTTCAGACTAAATCCGCCTTTATCATCATACTCTCCATTTTATCCATCGCTGCCTCAGTTTTCAGTGGGTCAGTTTTCTATGACCCTTACCACCCTTACAATCCTTACGAATCAGGAGCGTACGCTGGACTTCATCGAGCTTTATGGGCTCTAGGAAGTATAGGACTCATGTATGTGGCTAGTTATGGTCATGCCAGTTTTATTTCGAAAATATTAACTTGGAGCCCTTGGATACCTTTGAGCAAATTACAGTATGGTGAGTACTTATGATTAAAGAAATATCGCTTTTGATGCTTTATTCCAGTGATAGGTGATTAAGGTCATAATAAGTGGGTGGTAGTGGGTAGAAAGTCAATTAATTAATTGAATGAGTATCAAATTGAAATAAGCTTTCCATGGTCAAAAATATTATAAATCATTAGAACGGATCGACAAATCCAAAACTGTAACTACCTATACCAACTGAATTGTTCATTGTAAACTGTCTCATATTATAGAGGGCATTATACAATCCGAACATCTATGGAAATCAAAGAAACAATGATTAAAACTTACAGAAAATTTTCCTGAAAGCTTATTAATTATAATTTCACTAGTGGAAATTCTACAACAAGCCTTAATGAAGATTATCTGGTTAATTTTGAAGCACAAACGGTGAATATATTATCTTGAGTGATATAAGACAAAAACAGTAAATCAATTCTTGGAACTTAAGTAGCAAACTTAACAGTTTTCGGTATCTCTAATATACAACGCAAATAAAATCGTTTGTTTGTACTAAAATCAATGTATAAATTAACAACTATATGTTATAAAAATCATATTTATTGGTTTCTCAAGTGGACATAGGTACAACATGATAACATCGTAATCTTCTACACACCCTATTTCAATATTCATGATTTGCTCTTCTGCTTTAACAAAAAAACTTGAAGAAACTTCATTCACATCGGTGCAAAACAATGCTGATACTGTATCTGGTTCAACATTTATTAGAAGCCACTGAAAAAAACGACTGAGTCTCCACCGTGGAGTTTGTACAATCTATACATTTTTCCAGAACTTGTGACGAATCTTCAAATCATAATTTTTTTAAATCATTATAACATCAAATAAATCGCTCCTATTATAGTGTGGCTGAAATATCCTTGTTTTTCCAGTTCTTCAAAGTAACTTGCAGCATAGCAAAGGGGCGACCTCCTTAATAGATCGTCACATTGCTATGAGGCGAACACATATATACTTCCTACAAGGACTTCGGGCATACAAGAGTCGCGTAAGAAGATTAGGCAGAATGGAAAGATCTCTTTTCTATGAAGGGACTTCCAACTGAACCCAAGAACTTGCATCTATGTCGACAGACGGATCGAGTCCACTCTAATTGCTAACTTCTGCTCTAGAGACCTAGTAGTGGTAAAGCTATGCCTCAAGGACACACTGGGACAGATCAGATCGATGATAGTTTGCTCGGCCTATCTGCCCTATGACTCAACAGATGATTTCCCAACACGGAAAGTTCATCGATTTGGTGGAGCGCTGTAACTCACTGGGCCTTCTGTTGATTGTCGATTGCGATGCCAATGCACACCAAATGACATGGTGTGAGGCAGCACCAACACGAACCGGAGAGGGCTCAGTCTTCTGGAGTACCTTCACACCACGGATTTAGGAATCTTGAACCGTGGCACTTCGCATAGACAAGAGGTGAATAATGTGCATCAGGCTGTCCAGGATTTATTGGGACGGAATAGTCAGGGCTGACAGTCATCTCTAAACCCTAGTCCCGCCACAACCCGTAAAGCCTTCCACTGCACTCCAAAAACACGACCAGCCTGAGCCGCATGGCTCCAGATCAGCAGAGCATAGGACAGGCTGGAGTGAAACAAAGCAAAATATGCCGTCCACAAAACTGTCCTAGAATTACACTCAGACAGGCGTCGAAGCGCAAACAAACCGCTACGGAGCCCTCTCGCCACGTGATCTATGTGGATATCCCATTTTAGTGTGGGATCTACAAGAACACCCAAGAATTTTACATGTGCGAGAAGACAACTTTATTAGTTTTTTCCTGATTTAGGCGCAGCCTGTTTTTGTATGAAACCACTGAGTAGCACTTAACTGTGAAACCCGTAACCTTTTATCGAGACAGAAAGTGTAGTGTCATCCGCAAAGAGTGTAAAATGTGCATTTGTGTTATCATAAGGCAAATCATTGATGTACCTATATCAAGAAAAGAATAGGTCCCAAAACTGAACTCTGGGGTACCCCTATATTGATTACATTCTCTGTTGACGACGCTCCACCCGCCACCACAACTTGAAGTCTGTTTTGCAAATAAGATTTTAAAAGTGAAATACTCTCTGCAGTCAGATTGTAGAATACCAGTTTCCGGAGTAGGAGGTCATGGGTCACACAGTCAAATGATTTGCTCAAGTCACCGCATCGTACTTCAACGATCCAAAGGACTCCATCACCGTGTCAACTAGATCGAGTATCCCCAAAACTGTATTTTTTTCTCTGCGAAAGCCAAAGTGGCATTCCGAAAAATAGGATTTAGTTTCAAATTGGTCTACCAATTTCTCAGCCACACACTTATCTACTACCTTGGATATTATCGGTTAGAGGCTGACTGGTCTGTAGTTGGATACATCGTTCTTATCGGCCTTTCTAAAAATAAGTCTGACCATGGCTTTCTTTAAGACATCTGGAAAAGTATTTTCTCTAAAGCATATATAGTCTGGCTAGCCAAACGGCGAACTCCAAAAGAATTTGCTGTTTTGCCAAACTTGACGGAAACAATGATAAACAAGTTGGTGACATATTTTTTTTGCTGTATGGGCATGTGTAGTATTTCGTAATAAGAAAAAAATCCGGCAACATTGCGAAATGATGGATGTGGAGAGGCGTGATTATTCAGAGGCATGATTCTATTGGTTAGATTCTGAACGACAGCACGCAGTGGCGTGGTTATTGGCGAAACTAGAGAATTTTTTTTCTATTAATTTTATTGGTTTATTTCCTTGGTGTTTCCGGTGCCACTGAACCGAAAGACATGGCTGTCATCAGGCGGTGTCAGTTGAGGTGTCAGTGGATATTTTTAGGTTACGCCCCAGTTTTCTTCCCCCTTTCGTCTCTACCAAGTTACCACTTGCCAAACTATACGTTGATGAGTTTTGTTAATGGGTATAATATAAGATGTTTTACACACTACAAGATTCACACTAAGACCAAAAATGTCACGACTAGTTTCATTCTTGAGATGTGAAATTAATATCTCTCAATTCATTAAAGGTAACATCAGTGAAAGAAAAGTAATCAGCAGGTGGAATAATGTTTTCGAAATTTCGCAGAGGATCAGTTTGATTATTAGGTATTTTCTTTATTAGATTATTGCCTATGGCATGTTAGTGGAAAAAAATTGAAACTATCAGCTGATATTTTAGGGATGGATCACTCACGATGTTTGTTAAGAATGTTCCACATAGTTTTTTATGGATTTCTTGCAGAATTTATGGCCCTGTCGTTCGCACTCGCCTTTGCTCTTTTTCTAAAGAAAAATTTAAAAATATGTTGTCTATACAATAATTCACCCTAGTCTTTGAGAAACCGAAACCTCCAAGCGTATCGCAAAGGAGAACTGCCTCCCTCTGATTTATATTAAAGTGTACATTGAAGTCCCTAGCAGGGCCGGATCTACGATTTTTTCGAGGTGGGGCAAAGATGTACATTGCCGCCCCCTATCAAATATTATATTTTTTTTACTACTTACCTGAGAAATAGTCATTATTCAATCTATTTTTCTAGGAAAAAATTGAATTTCTCTCCCTAGGTGAATAATGAAAATAATGAAAAAGTCCCTAGGTCAATAATGAAAATGACGTCATGACGCAAGGATATTGTCATGTTTCTATTGGTTCAATTTCAATTTCATGCGTCAATTTAAAACAAAATACAGGTTTCTGTAGGTACATAGGAAGTTATCATAAGCTGTTGATAGAGGGCAACACTTTCAAGAGGGCGTTCAAAAAAAAATAATTAGAGCACAGATTTTAAGCAAATTTTTTATTTTCTACTAGCAGTAGTAAAAAAAATTCTATATATTCCTCGGTAGAGAAAGTCATTATATACCTCACGCATTATAAACCTCGGCGCTTTGCGCCTCGGTTCATAAAAGCGCTCGGTATATAATGACCAACTTCTCTACCTAGGTATATAATATACTATTATGTATTTATTCAAAAATCAGGTGTGAAGATTTCACAATCTTTTTATATAGTAGTGGCGGCTCGTGGTTTATACTGGAAGTGGTTCACACATACACTTTATTTTTTCCCAAGATAGATTTTGACATTGAAAACTTTGAAACATAAACAATAACGCTTGACCCTGATTGGTCGCAAAATGAGGTGTTTCTGCAGGTTGACATCCGTTTTACAATAGCGACCAATAAGCGGCCTTAGCGGCATTGTTTATGTTTCAAAGTTGACAATGCCAAAATCTATCTTGGGAAAAAATAAACTATAGAGTAGGACGTAGTAGTTGAAGCCTACCGCAGCGCAGGTGCTTTAGAGGTTTTTTTTTTTCGGGTGCCACGCCCACAAATAAATTTTAAGCCTCCAAAAATAGTTATTTACGTTACAAGTGCGTTTATGACATGATTACAATAGCGAGTGTGAAAGATTAGAACGACGAGGTCGTAGCACAGATTAACGCGTCCTAAAGATAGGAAACTCAGGCCTTTTTCCCTATCCTTCTCTTACTCATGCAGCGAGTTGTATGACTGCCACCAGTGGCGTAGCCAGGATTTTGTCTTGGGGGGGGCAAATTTGCAGGAAGCGTCTTTTGCGGCCCTACCGCGACCGCTGCCAGAGGCAAAGCGCCGCAGGCGCGAAATTTTTGGGTGCCACGCCCCTTTTTCAGGTTTCTTTATGCTATTTTTGGGACTGTTTATCTTAATTTTGAAGAAATATTCATAAAATTTAAGGGTCTTGGGGGGGGCAAATGCCCCCTTGCCCCCCCCCCTGGCTACGCCAGTGACTGCCACAGCACGGTGGCGCTAGTGTGCACTTCGGTGTGTCCAGTATTGTGGCAGTAGTCACGTGGCTCCCGCCTTTTTTCAAATAATTTGTCTAATAAATCTCATTTTATCATTAAACCCTATTTTTTGAAAATAAAACAACATTTCAGTACTATCTCCTTCTTTAACAGAACAGCCTTTAACACAACAACAGAAAACCGTATTGAAAAAATAACACT